TTTTTCAAAACTCAATAAACAACTCATATTCTATTTCAACTTTTTCATATTTGTATTGATATTTAAGTTTCAAACTCTGCAAATCTCAGCTTTTTAATATGTTAGTTAAAAGGAACGGAAATGACTATCTTTGGTCCATTCGTTTCCTGCAAAAATCATCGTTAGCGCAGTCTGGCGAAAGCCTTGATTGTGTACATTTATGTACTATAAACATTTTAAAAATGCAATTCTGTGTTATGCGAAACTGTAGAAACAAAAAGTCGTCTAAAAAACTTATTTATCTATAATTATCATTCCATTTCAAAGACAGACAGTTACAAATTTATTCATCTAACGTGATACAAATTATTCGCACAAATCTCAAAATAAATTCCACCATTAACCCATAAATTAAGTTAAATTAATTTCAATTTGACTTTAACACCAGACTCATGTGTCCGCTACCATTAATTTGTTGCAATTAGAAAGTTGTTTCTATTAAAACACATCTATAGTAAGCAATTTATTTAATAATGTCCTCAATTCTTGACATGCCTTTTCGTAGTTAATATTCGTATCATACATAACTTCAAGACTTAAATGGTAAATAATTCAGAATAAAGTTTTAATTCAACTATTTCAGGGACAACACTATTATATATGCTTTAACATATGCAAGATTTTCATTATAAATAAATAATCGAATCATGAACTTTGTCTTTCTATAATAGAAAGATGGTATTGAAAGCAGTATTAAAGTACTGTTTTGATATTTTGTAAAAAAAATCACTATCAAACTCATTGTCGTGGATATAAATAGGCCATTGGTGACAAACAAGTTAATAACTTCTTCATACATCATAGCAAAGGTATATGAATTGGTTTTTGTCTTTAACAATGCAATTTCGCTGATATCACAATTTTTATGAAACAATAAAATGGAACTATAAAAATGCAAGACACTGTCAAAAATATATTTAATTGCCCAAAAAAGTTTCTATATCGTGGCGGAAGAAAATGAAAACCAACATAGTACGAAATGAACTCAAAAAAACAGTTTGAAAGTTTAATAAAACCTTATTTCTCATACTTAGAGTTGTAATAACATACAAGAGCGTTCCAAAAATAGTATTTGTGGGAAAAGGCGATTTTGTACGAAATTACTACTTTTCAAACCAATTTTATTTTAAGGCTATGCTAATATTTGATAAAATCCTTTTATGGAGATTAAATATATTATAAATTTCAGTAATTGGCTCGATAGAAAAAAATCGCAAAGATGAAACGAAATAGCTTTTTTGGATCGATTTTAGGTACGACTAATATATTTCATCTTAACTATATGAAAATATATACAAAAGTAATTTTTGATATAATCTAAAATATAGAAAACTAAAATATCACTACTGCATTTGTTTTTTTCTGTGATTTAATTGTATGAAATTAAGGGAACGCGTCTGTAGTTGTATATTTGTATGGGAACGTAAGAGGAAGTACAAGAGAGCCTTTAGTAAAAGATAGTAAGTGACAATTTGATAATAGTTTCGCTCGTATTAATAAGAACAGTCACTGATGGCTGGCAGCAGACTATTAGTGCAATAGACTCTGCTGCTAAGCTGTTCTCAGCTGATATGCAGTATACTCTGAGTTGGGGTTGGGGGGGTTGTTTAACTCTCTAATATACTTACTTATTACATCTCAGCGATGTAATTGCCTGTTTACACGGATTAATTTGATAAGTAGTTAACTCAATTGTTGACTTCATTTTAAGTGACTGATGTGTGTTTTTTACACGTACTCTATCACTTAAAATTGAATTATAAAATTAAGTTAACAATTTAGGTAACTTTATAAACTTAATCCATGTAAACAGTTATTGGGAGGATATTATATATTAATTTTCTATTTTGACAATAAAGAAATTTGGGGTAAATAATTAAGTTAGTAACACTACTGTCAAATCCTTATTCGTAATTCTTTATCATTAATCAACACGTGTCAAAGAAGTAAAATAATAATAAATTTATCATACCACTAAACGGTTGTCTAGAAATAAGTGTCGCTTCGGTTTACACGTTAATAAACGATGGTGGAAAGCCAGTAAATTACAAAGTTGATAACAAACTATAAAATATTATATATACGTTTAAAAATTCACAACACGTTCTATTGTCCCTCTTTTTAGCCGGTTGTATCTAGCTAGTCTAGAGAGTAGCTTGGTGGCGTAGTGGTTAAGCGCCGCGGCCCGCGATCGTTGTTGTTAAGCAACTTTCGCAGGGGTCGGTCACGGGATGGGTGACCAAAAAATTATTATCTCGAGCTACTCCGTGCTTCGGAAGGCACGTTAAGCCGTTGGTCCCGGCTGCATTTGCAGTCGTTAATACCCTCCAATCCGCATTGGGCCAGCGTGGAGGGTCATGGCCCATCCTCCTTAACCATCCATAAGGAAGGCCTGAACCCCTGCAGTGGGGACATAAAAAGGGCTGATGAATGAAAAAAAAATGTACCTAATTTACCATAACATACGTCTTCCTCACCATATTACGTGGATCCATCGTTACATGACCGCCGAAATACAATCTTAAGGCCGGCCGTGAGTCAGTTACATTCCTGGCGTTATTGCATCACACGCCGTGTACACGGATAAGGCATCAATGCTCTGAATTAAGTACCTGCTGTTCTTTATACGAACAACTATTTAGAATAGAAAGCGCCTTTCGTTGTGACAGAAAAAAATGTGTAGTTTTAATAAAAAAGAACTAGTGAGCATTTGGTTAAAAGCATTGGCCGCCTAAAGCAAATTGGCAATGACAGAAGAGGAAATGTCAAAATGAGACGTATTGACTTATTTTGGTCGGGTAATAGTTAAACCAACAGAGCGTTTTTGTAAAAATCCAAACCTGAATTCGAATTTAGTTATGTGTCCGTTAAGTCATTAGTGAAAAAATCTAATAATTCCATTTTTTTTTGTTAAAACACTAAATGAAATTGACTGATAATACTAGTGCCACTACGTTAGTACTTGGATGTTGTGTACGATCGTATTAATATTAACATGACATGAGCCTATTCTATTTGTCCTCGAATAAAAATGCGGAAAATTTCCGTGAAGATTATCTGTGTATAAGAAACAGTGCCAAGCTCACAGGGTCAGGACCAACCTCCGTTGCATCATAAATTATCAAAAAATGCGTCTCCTTGGAGTTGTAATAGCATTTCAAAAATAGCCGAAATTTCATTATCTACAACATAACGTACGAGGAGTACTCGTAAGTTATTTATCCAACAATCAACAACAGAAACACCACAACAACATCAAAGAAAAAAAAATATACTTCCATAAAACAAAGGGATTTTCTTTAAAATGATGGTAAAGAACTCTGATATTATAAATATCCTACTAATCCTAGTTATCAAAAGCAAGAAAAAAAATGCTATCAATTAAAAGCTTTGCCGTCAGCGATTATTATTCATAATTGTCTAATATGTTCGTCGAGAATTCTCAGGTGTAATCATATCAAATTACTGGTCTACTTTAGTACCTACCTTTCATTGGCAGACAAACTAAAGAACGATTATATTATCAAAGTTGCGAACTATTTGCAATTTGTGCTACCAGTTAGCGCATTGTCAGCAAAAAGTGGTGTGTACGTACCATAGGGCTCGATACATACATGTCTTAAGTTCTTCAAGTTAATAGTGAGTTTAAATACCTATAATTGTTACTTTTGTGTTATGTCGTATTAAAGTTTGAATATTATCGAATAACAAACAACAAATCACTGATAATTTCAAAGTTATTACGTCTCAAACGAATACTGTTTTTTACAGCCTTAAGCCTCATTTACACCGGTTTATGGGTCAGCACTCGGTCTGTGCGGTCATCTCATTGATCAAATGCACGACCACGATGTCATCGACTAGTGTATTCAAATTAACTATTCAAATAATTATTATACGTTATCGAAAGGCATTTGGTATGTTTCTCGTAACTCTATCTGTATCTAGTTGTGTTTCTTTATTATTGCTATGTATTTATTCAAGAAAATCACTTTATTCCAAATAATTGTAGTTTGCTTTTTTGAACCTATGTAATGGTTGCCTAGCTAGAACATTAGTGACTTACCAATTTCGATCAGACCACTTAACTATGATTTCCCAACGGTATATCTGCTACAATCACAATATTTTATCAATTCTCTTTTATACCTAAACTAGGCAACAAATTGCTTCTATTTTATAATACAAAATCTATTCTAATTATATTCCGAGCGGCGTAGATGCTAAACGATATTACGAAATACATACCAATCTCGTAAAATAGTAAAGCGACCAGCGAATAAGTATGACACTAGTCACCATCAATTCTCCGATTCCAATCCATTTAATAAACGACACTGTTTATGTTTACCATTAAAAGATTTATAAATTCACTGACATAACAGACGTAATTTATGGTATAGAACCTAAATTTATATTTAAGACAAGTGCTTACTTGGACATCGATTTATTCTTTTGAATGTAAATCAACGACCTAATTTTGTCAAAAGTGCAACTGTATGTATTCCCGAAGTGGGACTCGAAGACTTTTAACCCTTCACTATCAAACCGTACATTACCATTTGATGTTTTATATTAAAAAACTTATAAAAGTCATCATAAATTTCAATGTACTAAGAATACATTTAGAAGATGTACTAGACAATACATATATTAATTAAAGTAGAATATGACGAGGATAATAATACGATAAGTTTTATAAATATAATAATAATTCTGGTAAAATTAATAAACAGGCCATATTTACTATTTCACGATCATGTAATAATATGAATCTGATAGATAAATCGATAAAGCAAATTACCATTTTAAATAAAGGCACTCAACTAAGCTATGATCGAAATATAAAAAGAGAACAAATAAGCAACAAGTACTTATATCTCATTTCTTCACAAACATATTAAAATTATAAAACTATTCCATCGACAACGGTATAGCAAAAAGTACATAATCGTACTTACCAGTTCGATAGCCGGCATTGGAGAGGTATGTAGCAAAGGTGTTGGTTTCATGATTGGCTTGCCACTGCGGCGAAGAGCAGTTGTCATTATTCGTGTACACATTGTGATTATGCACGTAAACGCCCGTCAAAAGGGAACTCCTGTAATAACACAATTTAAATTATCCATAATTACCACAGCAGCTTTTGTTAAACAAAGATAAGTGTCATTTTTTACTGTTATTGTTATTTTTACTGTTTTTTACTGTCAAAAGGTATAACCCTAACAATTTTCATGTGAATTGATCAGCAGTAAACGTAAAATTTCAATATTTGATCCATCAAATTAAACTAAAATTTAAACTAATGTTTTTGAAAAATATAATCTCACCTAGACGGACAACACATAGGTGTAGTAGTATACGCATGCCGAAATTCCGCTCCCGCACTCCTTATAGCCTTCATTGTCCTTGGCATAAAGTTCAGACTACCCAATTCCACGTCTTGATCGTCCGTCAGAATTAATATTATATTGGGCTTTCTCTCCCTCGGCTGTGGATAGGGAATATAGCCGCCGCTCTGCCATTTATTGGTTATTCGCAATCTGGACCTGGTTGTATTCTCCCTAACAGGCAGAGGGTGACTTCTATCTTGCATCTTGCTGTGATTTATAGCTCCGCGCGCCGGATTTTTGTCAACATAACTCCTGTTCCATTGCTTTTCAGCTTTTCGAGATTTGTCTTCCCTTTTTGAACTGAAATGATCTGCAGATTTATTGTGTTCTTCAGTAGAATGACTTGCGGACAGCTTTCTTCGATCACGTCTAGTTTCATGTTCCCAGTATCTTTGTCTGTCGCTCCGATATTTAGAACTGTTTCTATGTCTGAAATATCTCCTGTCGGGGATGTCGGTTAATGTGCCATTGAAAGTAGTGCGATTTCTATTATTCTCTCTATTTCTCAACATTCTAGCTCTGGATACACTGTCTTCTTCCGCAGAGTCTATTTTAGCGGAGACTAACAAAAAATTCCATGTCAAAAGTAATGATATGAACTTAAAATTCATTTTGTCTTAACCAATACAGATAACTATCACAAGAAATTAACTTCTTTGAAGTTGTTTTTAAAAATTTTATTGCAAGATTTAATATTTTTTTAAGTTATTATGGATGGTATAAAACACCAACTCCGTATGCACCACAGCATCTTGTTTACAATCTGAAACAAAGAAAATAATTATATTAAAGATTTAAAAGTGGAATAGAATTAATAATTTAAAATTAATACCAATATTGTATAAACGGGCGTAATAAGTTACCATATCCATATTAAAATGGAGTTCATTGTAAAAAATATTTTGAAATATATCTGCGTTGGCTGGTAATGGACATTGGGGGCATTTAATAGCAACCGAAGGCATCAATCGCAGACTGCTTTTAGCAGAATTGGTTGGGTCAGATCACTGTAAATAAACCGACGAGTTCCGCGCGCCTGTCGAAATCGGATTGAAGTATTGACATTACTCATCCATTTAAACTCCTAGCTTCCTCCTAATTTGTACCAGAATGACATACATATATATAACACATATATTATGTCATTACTAAAATTGACTGCGGATAATATGCTATTTGCAGAAAATTATAAGTAACATCACTTTCCTGGTATTAGAGCATCGTCTTATTATTAACGTTACTAATAGTAATAGTAATAGTACTAATAGTAATCGTTTATTTGCTATTAAATGAGGTATTATAAAAGATGGAAAGAAAATTACAGTTCAGCTCACTTAGCTATTACACTAGCATGCAAATACCATATTAATTAATTTTAATTTAATTATTACATTCAAAATACAGGCAATTAAAATAATTATTATTTAGGACTAAATCATTATTATAACCATTAAAAAATGTCAGAAAATAAAAACTATGTCACTACCATTATAACAAATTCAATTCAATTCAATTAGAAATACAGAAAAAAACTATGTTTCTAAGAACTGCTATCTGATATATTTATGTAATTGTTTAAAAAACTTTCCAAATAGATTTTAATATCGTGATTATATTTTGTACAGTTTTACTATAAGTATTACACAGACACTTGAAAGTTTTTTTATTCTCTAAGACACTATCTATCAGTACTTATAAGGTGGTTTAATCTGTCTATACTGATATTATAAAAATTAAAAAAAATATTGTTTGTTGTTTGAATAAAATCCAAAACTATTGGAACTATTTTTTAAATTCTTTAATCTATGGGGAGCTATATCATACGTGGGTGACGTAGGATATAACCGACGCTAGCTTAATATATATTTTTTTATTTAATCCTAGGATTAGTGAGTGACTGACTGCCATATCGACCCAAAACTTAAACCACTGGACGGTTCGTGCTGAAAAATACAAATCGTTAAGTAACACAAAAGTTCGCTAAAGATTTCGAAAAAAAATCAACCCTTAACGGCAGTGGTCTCCCCGGTCTGGTGCTGATAACTAAAAGGTTAAGAATCACAGTCCAAGGCCCTCCTGTACTTTCGCTAACGTTCTTATACAAATGCGCATCAAGAGTAAAGACTCTCTCGCATGATTTGATACGTTTTTAATCACAGAAACAAACTAATGCACCTATTAAAAACTATTGTGATCGAAAGAATATATCAAAACTTAATTTTGTATATAGTTAAGATGAAATATACTAGTCGTAAAATCGATTCAAAGAACCTATTGAAGTTATCTTTACTATGGCAAACTATTGACCATATGTTTGATTTTCATAAAATAATTTTTAAATGTGGTAATTTCATACAACCCCGCCTTAAGAGGTTAATTAGGAGTTCAAGAGAAAATCGCTTAGGTTAAATAAAGTTTGTTCTCAAGAATCCACTCGATCTTTCGTATCCTCATTTAACGCCTAAATCAACAGCTTCCCAATATTATCCGGTCATATCCTATAGAAGCAAAGCACGTGCGATTCTAGATAGTGATTTATGGGGATCTAGCAGTTTGCGGGGCTTAAATAGATGGGGTCCCGGGTCGGATCGATGGTCTGAGTCGCCACTGGCAATGGAATGCATAGTTTACCAGCTGCTTTAGTCGCATCGTATATTATTGTAAGACAAAAACATTTGCAATCTATGCAAACATATGGCTTCGTGTGGAAATAAACGATATTCTTGTTGAATAAAAAATAAAAAATCAACAGCAGTATTTATTGAATCACTAGTCAGACTGCATTTTAGAGTTGAGTTACTTCAAAAAAAAAATGGTACCTTAATAGTGTATGCATGTTCGTTGGTCTATCATAAATAATTCGGTCCAAAACTTTTGGACAGTCCGATGTAATCAGTCGAAACTCAAAGATGGACATCTTACCTACTATGAGGAACAAAAAGACAGAAGACGACATTTTTTATTAAATTAGATGATATAAAAAAAGTTAAGCTTGTGTAGTAGATCAAATATATATCTTTATAATTTAAAGAAAAATAGCTTTCAAGTTATGAAACAATTTATGTAAAAAAATATTTTAAAAATAAAAACATAAAGTAAATAGTTTTTTTGATACACGTTACATGAAAACTTATGACAAGTCTTTAAAAACTTTTAAAGATTTGAATTTTTACTAAATTCTCAATACTAACATACTCTTGTCAAATTTCCCGTAATATATTATATTTTGAAAGAAAATAGTCACAAATAATTGCCTAAACTAATCCTGAATTACGAGTATATATAAGTACTACTATTATAAAGAAATAAAGTTTCTAACACAAGTTATTTGTTTGTAGAAATTTTACTGATCCGATTATCTTTCACCCCGTGGCAGGTACATCATACTCGGGTGCGATAGGCATAATATACATAGGCGAAGTCGAAGCGGAAAAACAGTTACGTTCTTATAAACGCCTGTAGCTTTTATTATTAAATCTATTTATTGTTTCTTACACTTCGCCTAACTAAGTGTAAATTTAATTTTAACATTTCCTATAACAATGAAACCTAAATATAATTCTAAATCAAGAATAACATTCGTAACTTCCTTATGCGTGTGTAAATCGCAAACATGCTCACATTAAGCGTCTTCTGAAACATTTACTTGAACAATTCCTTTAAGTAAACATTTCTATTGTGAAACGTGCTTTCTTATTCATAGTAAATACAAAACCAAATAACGAAAATACATTGGTTACACTATTTACATATTAAGAACGACTAGAATAATTAATTCTTCATGATCTTTCTTCACCTGGAAGTTTATTAAAATATTTTGAAAATTAGAAAACAACATAATGCTCCGTAAATATGGTATAGGAGGGAGCGGGTACGCTGTAGCGCAGTTCCTAGCGTCAAAAAACTGAGCTGCGTTTGGCTCGTCTTGGCGTGCCACTAATGTGGCTCTTGATTAGACAAAATGTCGCGGCAAAATAAGTATTAATTATTTATACTATTTTTCGCATCAAATAGGCTCCGAAACTACTGAACCGATTTAAATATTCTTTCACTTATAGTAAAAACAAAATCTAATAACGAGAATCTTTTTTTTTTCGGCGCTGAGAAATGCTTTACGCATACCCATTTCACCTAGCGCGGGTCCACGGGTTATGTGGGACTCCTCCTGTGGCCCCATCCCCGAAGGAGTTAGATGGTTAGACAAGAAACAGGAGTTTACCTACTAAAACTCAGCGATGTCCCTCGCATGGAAGGCGATGCACGGGATCGGCCCGAAGGCCATACACCGCGTGGAAATAACGCGAATCTAACATAATTTGACAATATCTAAGGCGATTGTTTATATATAAACGCCAAATTATTTTCAAACAATAAAAGTTAATTAAACTAGCTATTTTAAAGGTAAAGTACGATGACCTTTAGCGTAGAGCTGAAAATTTACAAGTTTAATACCTCATTATATTAGGATAAATCGTTCAAGCAGACAGAAATGCCTTTGCGAGTTTAAATTGAGATTACTAACAGACAAGATTTGTTAGACTTCATACCTACTTCATAACCATTTATATTTAAAATTCCGTTAGAGTAGTTTTAGGTTAGAGAGAAAAGGCATTAAAAAAGTTCAAATTTAAATAATTTTGAAAAACTTCTTTTTTCATTAGTTACGCGAGTTTCAAAAGTTTTAATGCAGAAAGTCACAGATTACTTAGAAAAACAGAATGCTATTTTTATAACAGTGCTTAAAATAGATTAAGTGTTATCGAAGATTTTACAAACAAAATTAGACACTACTTCTTTACAATATTATTACCTATAGATTTCAACAATTGGTTATAATAATAGGTATAACTGTATGAAAAGAAATTCAGTAGGGCAATTCAAGTTCTTAGATACGGTAATTTCGGCTGTAGGTTGATATATAAATTAATCAGATATTTCCTTTTATATATATTTCACAACTATTTATAAAAAGCAAATCTGACAAAAAAAACACGTTTGTTGTTTTCTATGAAGTTGTTTAAAGTTTTTGAGTTAAATACAATTGATAAGAAGTCTAACAAAGCCTGTTGTTATAAATCTCATTCTTTCTAAAATAAGATGTAACCAAATTACTTCATCAAAGTATTAGAACATCTATTAGCTTTCAGCCATGGGCTTCGGTTGTGTGGTCCGGTATCGTCCATCTATACCTTCCTTTTGCCTCTGTATACTGATAAAAACCAAAAACAGTTGCGAAGTTTAAAAGAATAACATGCATAGGTACAGTAGGTAAAGCAACTGATAAGCAACTATGTAGATAGATATTTTGTGGGTATATAAAATGAACCCTTATAAATTAGAAGTTAATCACCCGGTCCTGAAGTTTCAGCAGCGAATGCCTTAATGTAAATCTCTCTAATGGCTGCTGTAACATAACTTTCCATCGATTTTACTCTTTTGAAACCATTAATTTACCGACTGAAGTAGGATCGCGATTAATTAGCTATTGTTAACAAACAGTCACGCTATTCTTCGTGAATTGTTTTTTTTTTAATTAAGTATAAAGTTATCAATCTTATTATTGAATTTTTCCGAAGTAATCACTGTTTAAATTTAGAATGTGAGCTTTGTT